TTACCTAGCAGGGGCAAATCTTACCTAGGTCCTAATCTTTCCCTATGTTATTAAACAACTAAAGAAGAACAAAGTTTCCAATGTGCAGATTGGATGATTGGACACAAGAAGGGTAGATTAGTCACTACAATCATTCTTCCTTCTTTCTTAAAGTGTTGCTAAAGCCACAACAGTAAAATCAGTCTGTATATGCAGTAAAGCATGCTTGTTATATTCACTGTGGAACCTAAGGGGTTAATCCTCTGCATTGTGTAAAGAGGATGTTTGATCCTGTATTCTCTGATCCTCCCCTTCTACTATTGTCCCCAATCCATCTGCTGATAGTACAGAGCCTTGAGAGCAAACTGCACTTGCTCAGTTTGGTGTGTATTGCGTGATAGTGTTTTTTTCTTTTTTTGGGAGAGTGAATGTGCTCAGCACAGGGCTAATCAGCACTGTCCAGACGTAGGGTCAGGGGTCCTGCAGCCCCATAGGACAATCAGGGGAGAAAGAAAACATTTCCTACAAGCTTTAACCAGTGCTCTGCTGGACACTGATATAAGTCACAAGACTGCTCTAACTTCTGATGAGAAAAGGTATTTAGTAGTTTATATTTACTAAAATGATTGCATCTTCATGTTGTGTGTACTGTGGGAGACCAGATATAGTGAATGCAGGGTCCTGGGTTTAGTAACACTTTAGCAACTGCAGGGAATACTTTGCTTTCAGCAAGTCAACTGACTCATAGACTTCCATTAGAAGGAACAGTGAAGTACAACCCTTGTGTAACACTGCAAAGCAGAAAGCAGAGCCTGAGTTTGTAATGGTCAAATAAGGCAGACCTCATGTACATACTGTATTTTTATGTGAATGATGCAATAAAACATGTTTTTTAAAATTGAATACAAATTGGTATGATAATCTATTTTTTATATCTATAAAATCATTGAAAAAATTATACGAGGGATGAGATGGAAATCTCTTTATCCAGCCGTAATTATGTGTTCTACTTTATGTCACTGCATGCAATCCTGGTAATTAATGACACTTTCCACCTGTCATATCCAGAGATGCAGAGAAAATAGACCTTTTCTGTTTAGTTTCCTTTGCACAATTTTATTGGAAATGGCATGCTCCACTTTCCATTGCGTGCACAGAGAACCTGGAGGTTGCATCACTGCAGGAGCAAGTAATAATTAAACCTGTAGGAATCTGCTGTTTCTTTCAGGTAGCTGACATTCTGGAGGTTAATACCTGGATCTATGAATCAAACTGACCTAGCCCTGTGTCACATGCGGGTCACACGTCGAAGGGTGAAGTCACATGACCAGGCAATGCAATTGACTTGCAAGCAGTATTGGACAGACAGGACCAAAAAGAATGATTTTTAAGGGGGTGCAATGGAGGAGATTTACTAAAACTGGTGCACAGAGAATCTGGTGCAGTTGTGCATAGTAACCAATCAGCTTCCAGGTTTTACTGTCAAAGCTTAATTCAACAAGCTGAAGTTAAAAGCTGATTGGCTACTATGCACAGCTGCACCGGATTCTGTGTGCAGCAGTGTTAGTAAATCTCCCCCAATCTGTCAATGCTTTCTAATTCAGGTTAGCTAATCTGTGGCATGGTGCCTCTTGGGGAACTACAAGTACCAGCATGCAGACAGTAAGTGGAATAGTGGAACTGGCAGACATTCAGCATTCTTTCATACACTATACCACTTATTAATGTTAAATATGAAATATGCACACAGGTTTAAAAATTGAGCAGCACAAAAAAGTTTTGGCTTTAGGTTTTACATTAACATGAAACTGATTATTTGTATATTTAAAGTCCAATTTTATTTTAATGGAGTGATGAGGGAATAGAACCTCTGTCAGGTTTTTCATTGCTGTCTCTGTCCCTGCTGGGGAGATTTACCGTCTCTATTTCTCCTAGTGCCCATTGTCATTGGGACATAAAGAGAGGTAAAACCTAAAATCATGAGTTTTCAGCAGAACAGGAAAAGATGAGAAATCTTCCAAAGGAGTCACTTGTTCTATGACAACTGTCTATGATAGAGATGAGCGAATCGAACATGGCGAAGTGGAATTCGTTTCGAAGATCAGGAAAAATTCGATTCGCGCCGAATCCGAAAATTAGCAAACTTCGGATGCACGAATCGAATTTTCCCAAAAATGGCGGCGACATGTGTGGCGACGGAGCGGGGATCTCTGGGAAGGCGCGCAGACAAGGCGCGCTGACCCATAATGCATTCATTCATGACATGTGATCGCATTAGCCAATCATCAGCCAGCCAGCCAGCACTGTGTAATGGTGGAGCTATAAATTGCGGCCATCTTAGAATTCTCCATTAGCCTCCGGTCATTCAAGAGAGACAGACCTCTGTGTATTAGGGACAGAGTTAGGGCCACAGAGACTTTAGGGCCACAGAATCATTACTTAGGGACACAGAATCGTTACTTAGGGACACAGAATCGTTACTCAGGGACACAGAATTGTTACTCAGGGACACAGAATTGTTACTCAGGGACACAGAAATCGTTACTCAGGGACAGACACAGAATTGTTACTCAGGGACACAGAATTGTTACTGAGGGACACAGAATCGTTACTCAGGGACACAGAATTGTTACTCAGGGACACAGAATCGTTACTCAGGGACACAGAATTGTTACTCAGGGACACAGAATTGTTACTCAGGGACAGACACAGATTTGTTACTCAGGGACACAGAATTGTTACTCAAGGACACAGAATTGTTACTGAGGGACACAGAATCGTTACTCAGGACACAGAATTGTTACTCAGGGACACAGAATTGTTACTCAGGGACACAGAATTGTTACTGAAGGACACAGAATCGTTACTGAGGGACACAGAATTGTTACTCAGGGACAGACACAGAATTGTTACTGAGGGACACAGAATTGTTACTGAGGGACACAGAATTGTTACTCAGGGACACAGAATTGTTACTGAGGGACACAGAATTGTTACTCAGGGACACAGAATTGTTACTCAGGGACCGACACAGAATTGTTACTGAGGGACACAGAATCGTTACTCAGGGACACAGAATTGTTACTCAGGGACACAGAATTGTTACTCAGGGACACACAGAATTGTTACTGAAGGACACAGAATCGTTACTGAGGGACACAGAATTGTTACTCAGGGACAGACACAGAATTGTTACTGAGGGACACAGAATTGTTACTGAGGGACACAGAATTGTTACTCAGGGACACAGAATTGTTACTGAGGGACACAGAATTGTTACTCAGGGACACAGAATTGTTTACTCAGGGACCGACACAGAATTGTTACTGAGGGACACAGAATTGTTACTCAGGGACACAGAATCGTTACTCAGGGACACAGAATTGTTACTCAGGGACACAGAATCGTTACTCAGGGACACAGAATCGTTACTGAGGAACACAGAATCGTTACTGAGGGACACAGAATTGTTACTCAGGGACACAGAATTGTTACTCAGGGACACAGAATTGTTACTCAGGGACACAGAATCGTTACTCAGGGACACAGAATTGTTACTGAGGGACACAGAATCGTTACTGAGGGACACAGAATTGTTACTCAGGGACACAGAATTGTTACTCAGGGACACAGAATTGTTACTCAGGGACACAGAATCGTTGAATTAAAGAGTATGTCAGACAACACGCAGAGGAGTGGCAGAGGAGGCAATGTTTCAGGAGCGAGCAGACGTGGCAGCAGAGGAAGGGGTCGAGGCAGCACTAGTCGCAGCCAGAGGCCAGTGCTCCCGGTGTCATCCAGCGGTCGTGTCTCCACCGACAACCCTGCCGTCATCGATTGGTTGGCTCGGTCGTCTTCCTCTTCCCAGGTCACCTCTGACACCTACAGCCAACGGTCGGTGGGTACGTCAGACACAACCGTTAGTTGGCATGGCCCGGGAGCAAGCCCACTGAAATCACGTGTCCTCTACCTGCCCCTGTCCTTTGGTGTTCCCTCACCAAGCGAAGTATCGCATGCTGTGGGCTCAGCCCCACTGTACAGTGAGGAAGAGCTAACAGAGGGCGGTCAGGAACGAGGGAGCCAGGCGAAGAAGTACTGGCGAGGAGAGTGACTCGGTAGCCGGTCTAGAGACAGGTCTGTCTCCTGACCCACACGCAGCCGAGGGGGCTAGTAGTGAGGCGGAGACCCTAATTGATGATGAGGAGGCTGATCGCACTTGGCAGCCTCGTCGTCATCTGCCAGGCCCGTAATCTGTCATGGGCCCCTGTACTGCCTCCTCATGCTGCTGCCAGGTCCAGAGTGTGTCATGGGTCCCTGTACGGCCTCTCATTGCTGCTGTCTCCATCGCCACACTCTGCCATGTGCCACTTTCAGGTCTCCTCACACTGCTGGTGGGTTCCATTTTGTCATAGGGTGCTGGCAGATTACGGGCCTCCCATTGCTGCTGCCAGGCCCGTAATCTGCCATGGGCCCCCCGTACTGACTCCTCATGCTGCTGCCAGGCCCGTAATCTGTCATGGGCCCCTGTACCGCCTCCTCATGCTGCTGCCAGGTCCAGAGTGTGTCATGGGTCCCTGTACGGCCTCCCCATTGCTGCTGTCTCCATCGCCACACTCTGCCATGTGCCACTTTCAGGTCTCCTCACACTGCTGGTGGGTTCCATTTTGTCATAGGGTGCTGTATGGCCTCCCATTGCTGCTGCCAGGCCCGTAATCTGCCATGGGCCCCCGTACCGACTCCTCATGCTGCTGCCAGGCCCGTAATCTGTCATGGGCCCCTGTACCGCCTCCTCATGCTGCTGCCAGGTCCAGAGTGTGTCATGGGTCCCTGTACGGCCTCCCATTGCTGCTGTCTCCATCGCCACACTCTGCCATGTGCCACTTTCAGGTCTCCTCACACTGCTGGTGGGTTCCATTTTGTCATAGGGTGCTGTATGGCCTCCCATTGCTGCTGCCAGGCCCGTAATCTGCCATGGGCCCCCGTACCGACTCCTCATGCTGCTGCCAGGCCCGTAATCTGTCATGGGCCCCTGTACCGCCTCCTCATGCTGCTGCCAGGTCCAGAGTGTGTCATGGGTCCCTGTACAGCCTCCCATTGCTGCTGTCTCCATCGCCACACTCTGCCATGTGCCACTTTCAGGTCTCCTCACACTGCTGGTGGGTTCCATTTTGTCATAGGGTGCTGTATGGCCTCCCATTGCTGCTGCCAGGCCCGTAATCTGCCATGGGCCCCCGTACCAACTCCTCATGCTGCTGCCAGGCCCGTAATCTGTCATGGGCCCCTGTACCGCCTCCTCATGCTGCTGCCAGGTCCAGAGTGTGTCATGGGTCCCTGTACGGCCTCCCATTGCTGCTGTCTCCATCGCCACACTCTGCCATGTGCCACTTTCAGGTCTCCTCACACTGCTGGTGGGTTCCATTTTTTCATAGGGTGCTGTATGGCCTCCCATTGCTGCTGCCTCCACCGCCACACTGTGGCTCCACACTCTGGTTTTGGCCCCGTGACTGCCCAAATGAGTGAAGTGTGCGGTGATTCTAAGATCGACGGCACTCATCTGCATGTCATACTGACTGACAGTATTATTTCTCTTCCCCAGCAGACTCCAAGGGCATTTAAATTAAAGGTACAGTGTTCTGCACTAATATAAAGGCTCTCTGAAGCCTAGTAACACCCTTTTTATAAGTTAAATTCGCAGCGAATATATTCGACTCGAATCGAATTTATTCCACGAATTCGCCGAATCAGCCGAATCGAATTTTTGAATAATTCGCTCATCTCTAGTCTATGAGCTTGGTCACACCATGCCCATTTAGCTGCCACTTTCGGCCCTGGACACAAACTGTTTCATCCATAGGTAATCCCTGCATGTCTGGTAAAGGAGTTGTTTTCTTTTGTCATGACAGCTTGATGTGGTGGGTTAGGGGGTCTTTGAGGGTCTGTGAAGACGTGGAATTGTTACAAAATTGATTCCTATTTGGTGAATAGTTGCTGAGTTCTACTAGAGCAGCGGTTCTCAACCTGGGGGTCGCGACCCCTTTGGGGGTCGAACGACCATTTCCCAGGGGTCGCCTAAGACCATCGGAAAACACATATTTCCGATGGTCTTAGGAACCGAGACACCGCTGCTCTCTCCGGCGATGTGTGGGCGGGATGATATGCTGCCCCTGTCACTGCCTCCTCACCGCTGATTGGCCACCAGAACTGTAGCTCAGGAGAGGCACACAGGCGGCCAATCACCGGCGAGAAGGTGGAGCTTGGAGAGGAGGAGCCGAGCGAGCGGCAGCGCGCGGAGATCGAAGAAGATCGAGGGAGCTGCAGGAACGAGTGAAGAGAGAGGCCAGAGAAGGAAGACAGCTGACAGGTAAGTGCAAATTTTGCTGCTGCAGCCAGGTATGCAGGCTGTAGATGGGAGAGGGAGAGAGCGAGCCCAGGCTGGAGCAGGAGTCAGCAAGGTAAGTATCATTGGTGTCAGTGGAAGGGATAGTGCCCCCATCATTTGTGTCACTAATACCAACGATGGGGCACTATTCCTCCCCCCACTGACACCAACGATGGGGCACTATTCCTCCCCCCACTGATACCAACGATGGGGCACTATTCCTCCCCTCACTGACCCAACGATGGGGCACTATTCCTCCCCCACTGACACCAACGATGGGGCACTATTCCTCCCCCCACTGACACCAACGATGGGGCACTATTCCTCCCCTCACTGACACCAACGATGGGGCACTATTCCTCCCCTCACTGACACCAACGATGGGGCACTATTCCTCCCCCACTGACACCAACGATGAGACAGTATTCCTCCCCTCACTGACACCAACGATGGGGCACTATTCCTCCCCCCCACTGACACCAACGATGGGGCACTATTCCTCCCCCCACTGACACCAACGATGGGGCACTATTCCTCCCCCCACTGACACCAACGATGGGGCACTATTCCTCCCCCCACTGACACCAACGATGGGGCACTATTCCTCCCCCCACTGACACCAACGATGGGGCACTATTCCTCCCCCCACTGACACCAACGATGGGGCACTATTCCTCCCCCCACTGACACCAACGATGGGGCACTATTCCTCCCCCCACTGACACCAACGATGGGGCACTATTCCTCCCCCACTGACACCAACGATGGGGCACTATTCCTCCCCCCACTGACACCAACGATGGGGCACTATTTTTCCCCCCACTGACACCAACGATGGGGCACTATTCCTCCCACTAACGCCAATGATGGGGCACTATTCCTCCCACTGATACCAATGATGGGGCACTATTCCTCCCACTGATACCAATGATGGGGCACTATTCCTCCCACTGACACCAATGATGGGGCACTATTCCTCCCACTCATACCAATGATGGGGCACTATTCCTCCCACTCATACCAATGATGGGGCACTATTCCTCCCACTCATACCAATGATGGGGCACTATTCCTGCCACTCATACCAATGATGGGGCACTATTCCTTCCACTAACACCAATGATGGGGCACTATTCCTCCCACTCATACCAATGATGGGGCACTATTCCTTCCACTGACACCAATGATGGGGCACTATTCCTCCCACTGATACTAATGATGGGCACTATTCCTCCCACTGACACCAATGATGGGGCACTATTCCTCCCACTGACACCAAATGATGGGGCACTATTCCTCCCACTGACACCAATGATGGGGCACTATTCCTCCCACTCATACCAATGATGGGGCACTATTCCTCCCACTGATACTAATGATGGGGCACTATTCCTCCCCACTGACACCAATGATGGGGCACTATTCCTCCCACTGATACCAATGATGGGGTACTATTCCTCCCACTCATACCAATGATGGGGCACTATTCCTCCCACTGATACCAATGATGGGGCACTATTCCCCCCACTGATACCAATGATGGGGCACTATTCCCCCCACTGACACCAATGATGGGACACTATTCCTCCCACTGACACCAATGATGGGACACTATTCCTCCCACTGACACCAATGATGGGACACTATTCCTCCCACTGACACCAATGATGGGACACTATTCCTCCCACTGACACCAATGATGGAGCACTATTCCTCTAGTAGACACCCAAATACCCTCTCCTGGCAATACATGCTTATGTCCATACATTTTACTTGTTCACTGCTATTTATTGAGTTGTTAAACAAATTGCTGTGTCATAAACTATTGCTGAGTAATTTTTTGGGAGGTTAAATGGCAGGGACGCAATTGATGAATCCATAGACAATATCACAGAGATAAGTATCTGCTACTGATCGTGGCTGCAAAAATATTAGTATGACAAGGCCCTAAGGCTTAAAGTGATTGTAAACCTTTTTTTTTTTTAATAAAAATTAAAAATGTTATAATTACCTACTTTGTGCAATAGTATTTCACAGAGTGGTGGCTTACCTCCTCTTCTGGAATCCCCTGTCAATGCTTTTGACCTTCTCTTCTCTGAGTGCCCCCTTAGCAGCCTGTGTGCTGAGGGGGCACTCGTGCAGGTGAGCTCCCAAACTGCATCCATAGACGCGCCCCTGCTCCCTATTCACAGAACGTGACTGACAGCACCAGGAGCCAATGGTCCCCATTGCTCTCAGTGAAGCCTGGGGAAGGAGGAGAGAGAGCAGCACTGTTCTGGATTGAAACAGGACTCAAGGTCAGTGTTTGGCACATGGAACAGGTAGCAGAAGGTTTTTACCTTAATGTAGAGATTGCATTAAAATATCACTAAATGCAATTTTTTAACGTTTTGGATAGAGTAGTAGAGAGGAATCAGAACCCCTGTCTGGTGTTATTGCTGTTTGTGCCTCCTTCAGGCCTTGTTTACACAATACATGTAGAAAAACTGATGGAAACTGATGCTCCGATTTCACTTGCAGAGACATGAGTTTACATCAGTTTTCATGCGCGCTTCAATGAGATTTATTCACGTTGCAGATTCCTGTGCACAAAAAGTCTGCACGTGATACTAGTGCTGTGAACAGGGCACATGGAGAACAATTGTTTCCTTTGTGCATTTGCAGAGCACATGCAGAAAAACCGACGTCTCTGCACCATGGTGTACACAAGGCCTTAAGGAGATTCAACCTCTCTATTTGTCCTGTTTACCATTATCATTGAAAGTGAAAGTAAAAGAAAAATTCCAAATTTTGGATTGATATCACAACAGGAATAGAGGGGAAATCTTCCAATTGGGACGATAGTTCTGGTGACCCTGGTGATACCCCAGGATTCCTTCACTTTCGGGGGATTTCCTCTCACTGTTTTGGCTACAGGATAAGAAGTGAAGAGAAATCTCTGCAATTGGAAACAGATGGCAAAACAAACTGACAACGGTTATAACCCTCCCTTGGTGACACTTTAAGGTTCTTAAGAACCACTTTAAAAGTTCAGGATTAAAAAAAAAAATCCAAACACACATACTTACCTAGGTGGATACAGCATTGGTCCCACACCGGGTCTACACTGAGAACTGAGCATTCAAACAACACTGATCACTCAGTTCTTGGTCTTCACTGAGCAGAGAGCAGTGACTGTTAGACACTGGTTCTCTGCTCTGCCCCTACAGCGCTCACTGGGGTTCCAGATTGTGGAGGGGGGGGTGTCAGCGGCTGGCTCAAGCTCTTAGAAGCACCCTTAGAGGCTTAGCCAGCTGTCAGTCAGCTAACTGGATGGATCTTGACTTCGGGATCCCATTACAGTCTGGAACAATAAACCAACAGAAGGTGACACCCAGTGGGGTATTTAGGTCTTGTGCTGCCCTAGGCAACACAAAAATCGTCTGCCCCAACGGACACTGACCAACACCCCCCTCCCGCGGACAGAGCCTGACATTGACCAACAACACCCTTGCCCTCCATCTGGGAGAGCCTTCCACTACCCCCCTCCACCTTCCCGGCAATAGAGAGAAAGACACCCATCTTCACAGGTCCTGACATCCCCGGGAAAGAGAGTCAGGTTCTACATACACCATCAAGCAGCCAGCAGCCTCTCTAAGATCCTACCTGGTTCCCATGGTGTGCATGTCCCTTCTTCCATCCCTTCTTCTGGGGAGAGGTGCTGCCGCCCTGAAAAATGCCGCCCTAGGCAAGTGACTCGTTTGCCTTGTGGTAAATACGCCCCTGGTGACACCATCTAAGTATATCAATTTAATTAAAAGCTTAGATATACTTAGATGGTGACACCTTCTGTTTGTTTATTGTTTTAGTGCACAAAGGGTATCCAATACCCTGTTAGAAGAACTGCAGCCATTATAGAAGTGGATTAACACACCTGGATCTACCATACAGAGACGACGGCTTATTGCTTGGGACCTAATCACTTTTTCTCTCCATTTGCGGCATAGAGTTTTTTTTTATGATTTTCTCATCAGAGTCTGGATCTGGCTAAGTGACATCAGCCGACAGTGGGCTTTAACCCGCTGTCAGCTGAATATGGGTCACAGGAGTGCTGAACTAAATGCACTCTTGTGACACACATGAAAAGTAGGGCCAAAAGAGCTTTGGCCCTACTTCTTCTTTAAATCATATTAGCAATATTGTAGCAGGAGACATCTCACCATCTATGCAGTCTCTGAGCCTTCTTACTTTTTCCTATAATATCGCTCATTTTCTGGCTGAAATAATGG